AATAAATAAATAAATAAATAAATAAATAAGATGTCATAAGGAAGAGGGAGAGACTTGTTTTTTACTGCCCTGGAGACTAGGACTGAGCAGTGGGTTCAAATTGCAAGAAAGGAGATTCCACCTGAACATTAGGAAGAACTTCCTGGCTGTAAGGAGAGCTGTTCAGCAGGGGATTCTCTGCCTCAGAGTTTGGTGGAAGCTCCCTCCTTTTAACAAGCTGGATGGGCATCTTTCAGGAGGACTTTGATAGTGCATTTCCTGTGAGGCAGGGGGTTGGACTAGATGGCTCATGTGGTCTCTTCCAACTCTATGATTCTATGAGATATAAAAGAGAGGGGAGTGCAAGAATAAAGTGGAATGCAAGGTCAGCTACCTGCATCTGGAATATGGTGTCCAGTTTTTGGGTTATTGCAGGTATTTTGGGTTGTATGGCCATGTTCTAGAAGCATTCTCTCCTGACGTTTCACCTGCATCTGTGGCAAGCATCCTCATGGCCATACAACCCAAAAAGCTTACAACAACCCAGTGATTCCAGCCATGAAAGCCTCCGACAATCTATTGTCCAGTTTTTGCTTAGACCTCACCTGGGATACTCTGTCCAGTTCTTGGCATCCCAATTAAATTAGAATATTTATTGGTTGGAAGATTTCCAGAGGTGGGTAACCAAAATGGTCAAAAAGCCAGTGGTTCATGTAGTCTCTTCCAACTCTTATGATTCTCTGAAGAGAAAGCTGAGAGGAAGGGGACTGAAAAGGGTATCCCATTGAGGAAAAGAGGGAAAGCTTGTGTTCTGCTGCTCCAGAGACTAGGACACAAGGGAGCCATGGATTCAAACTGCAGGAAAATATATCCCACATAAACATTGGAACATTAGAGCTTTTTATCAGTGGAATATGCTTCTGCCTGGGAATCCATCGGAATCTCCTCTCCAGAGGTTTTAAAGCAAAGGTTGGATGGCTATCTGTCAGGACAGCTGGATTGGATATTCCTTCATGGCAGGTTGGACTAGATGGCCCTTGGGGGTCTCTTCCAACTCTAGGATTTGATACACAATGAAAAAAAGGCCTGATTAATAGATATTAACTTCAGGAAGGCATGTCTGAAGGAGTGATGGGTCAAGGACCAAAACGGCAGAGGATGAAAATCCCAATGCTCCTGCCGTTAGGAAAAGACTCCCACAGCTTTGAGGCCAAAAGGTTGCCCGCAAGAGTGATATAGAGCTGCAGGAAGAAAAGGAGAAGACTAATGAATTCATCATGTAGCTCTTTTCAGCCCGGCTGCAGAGGACTGCAGAACAACTCACAGCTTTCTGCAGAATTGGCACCAGCTACGCTTTCCAAATGTGCGAGACTTCTCAGGAAATTGCAAAGTACAGATGTTGAAGCTGCTTCAGTATCATTATTTCATGGCCCCAAACCCTGTAAAATGCCACTTGGGAGTAAACCATGTCATCCTGTTGTCCTGAAGGAAAAACTGGTAGTTTGTGGATTCAGTTGTAGATAAATTCAATGCATAGGATCGTAAAGCAGCCTAGACGAGATCCAGAAAAGAGCTGGAGAATCTCTCTGAACGTGTAGGATTCACATCTTCCTAGGAGAAGAGATCAGCGGGTCTGATGGTTCCAGGTATTTTGTTTTTTGCATCCGAGTGTTCCTGGGGAACTTAGATTAGAGAGATAGGCCAAAACTAACAAAATGAAATGCAGATACAAAATGGAGGGCAATGCCTGGCTCAACAGCAGGATGTGTGAAAAAAACTTGGAGTCCTCATGGACAACAAGTTAAACATGAGCCAACAATGTCATGCGGCGGCTAAAAAAGCCAATGGGATTTTGGCCTGCATCAATAGGAGTCTAGTATCTAGATCCAGGGAAGTCATGCTACACCTATATACTGCCTTGGGCAGATCACACCTAGAATCACACCATGTCCAATTCTGGACACTGCAATTGAAGGGAGATGTTGACTCTAAGCTGGAATACATCCAGAGCAGGATGACTCAGATGATCAAGGGTCTAGAGAACAAGCCCTATGAGGACCATCTTAAAGAGCTGGGCATGTTTAGCCTCCAGAAGAGAAGTCTGAGGGGAGACATGATGAGGGCCATGTATCAAGATGTGAGGGGAAGTCATAGGAAGAAGGAAACAAGCTTGCTTTCTCCTGCCCTGGAGGCTAGGCTGAGGAACAATGGCTTCAAACTACAGGAAAGGAGATTCCACCTGAACATTAGGAAGAACTTCCTGACAGTTCAGCAGTGGAACTCTCTGCCCCAGAGTGTGGTGGCGGCTCCTTCTTTGGAGGCTTTTAAACAGAGGCTGGATGGCCATCTGTCAGGGTTGCTTTGAATGCAATGTTCCTGTTTCCTGGCAGAATGGGGTTGGACTGGATGGCCCACGAGGTCTCTTCTAACTCTAGGATTCTATTATTCTATTCTATGAAACAACCAGATAGTAATGTGTTTAGGACTTTGCTCCATATTTGCAGGAGTCTTGACAAAGACAAGTGTAGTTCATTGACAGAAGCATAGGCTGTCCCCGAGTTACAAACATCCAACTTACAAATGACTCATAGTTAAGAATGGAGCTGAGACAACAGGAAGTGAGAGGAATCTCCTCCTCAGAAGGAAGGAAGGGAAAAGGTGTCTCCACTGACGCTTTCTCACCAATCCTTGTTTCCACAAGTTAAATTTCTCAAAATACAACTCTTTCAGGGACAGAAAGTGAGGGGAAATCTTCTGAACGGGCACAGACAGCAAAGGAAACCCCACAGAGGTGTTCACCCTTCCCTATGCTATCCAAAGCTATATATAGTGAAGGTGTTCTGTTTCGGAGCAATTCCAGACATTGACAGAATCAAGAGTCTATGGGAGAGCAGGCCTCTCTCTCTTTCAGGGCCCAAGGTTGGACTGGATGGCCTTTGGTGGCCCTCCCTCTGCGGCCCAGGCCTTAGCACCAAGTGTGTTGTACATGCCAAGGATATTTACACCTGTGAAGAGATGCAGGCCTTCAATCCTGGAAACCAGGTTGAGAGCATCTCGATAAGAATTAAGGGAATGAGGTATGAAAAAGATGCAATTGTGCGGGGTCTATCACAGACTTTTAAGCCAGACAAAAGAGTAGGATGAAGCCTTCCTTGAACAGAGGATCATACGTACATGCAGAAAGAAGGAATATAGTCATGATTAGGGATTTTAATGATTCTGATATTTGTTGGAAAACAAGCTCTGCCAAGGGTACAAACTCCAATGGCTTGGAGAGCATCCCTCACCCTCTTCCCTTTTGAGGGGGCGGGTGGGGCTCCTTCTTTCTGTCCTTCCTTACTCCCTCAATTTATTCCTTCTTTCTTCTATCCTTCCTTCCTTTCTTGATTTGTCCCTTCATTCTTTGCTTTCTTCCTTAGGTTATTTTTTTCCCTTCCACCCTTAATTTATCTTTTCTTCCCTTTCTTTCTCTTTCCTTCGATTCCTTCCTGCTGCCCTTCTTTCCTTCCTTAGTCCCTCAAATTCCCCCTTCTTTCTCCCCTGACATTCTTTGCTTCCTTCTATCCTTTGTTCCCCCTTAATTTCTCCTTTTTTCTTTGCTTTCTTCCTTCAGTTGTTTCCTTCCACTGTTAATTCGTCCTTTCTTTCTTCCCTTCCTTTCTCTTCCCTTCTTTCTTTGCTTCCTTCCTTCTGCCCTGCTTCCCATCTTTCTTCCCTTCCTTACATTGTCTCTTCTTTCTCCCCTGCCTTTCTTTGCTTCCTTCTATTCTTCCTTCCTTCCTTGATTTATCCTTTCTTTCTTTGCTTTTTTCCTTCAGGTCTTTTCCTCCTCTCCCCCTTATTTTGTCCTTGCTTGCTTGCTTTCTTCTCATCCTTTCTCTTCTCTTCTTCCTTTGCTTCCTTCTATCCTTCCTTGATTTCTCCTTCCTTCCTTCCTTCCTTCCTTGGGGTCTTTTCTCCCTCCCTTAATTTCTCCCTTCTTTCTTCCCTTTCTATCTTTGCTTCCTTCTATCCTTAATTCTTTCCTTGCCTTCTCCTTTCTTCCTTTGGTTCTTTCCCCCCCTTCCACCCTTAATTTGTCCTTCCTTCCTTTTCCCTTCTTTGATTCCTCCCTTCTGCCCTGCTTTCCACCTTCCCTTTCACCCTTAAATTGTCCTTTCTTTCTTCTCCTCCTTTCCCTCCTTCCTTTCCATATCCCCCCTCCCACTTCTCCTTTGCCTTGAAAGGCATTTTCTCCCTCGCCTTTCTTCCTTCCTTCCCTCCCTCTCTCCCTTTTTCTCCTTTTCCTCCCTTCCATCCCTTCCTCCCTTCCCCTCCCTCCACTGTAACTTGAAGCCATTTTCTCCTCTCCTTCCTTCTTTCCTACTTCCTTCTTCCCAATCCCCCTCCCATACGCCTGGCCTTTCAAGGCATTTCTCCCCTCTTACTTCTTCCCTTCGGGCGCTCCTGCTTCCTCCTTCCTTCCTTCCTTGTTTCTTTTCTTCCCGCCTCCCTCCCACCTTCCTTCTATCTTTCGCCATATCAACACCCCAGAACCAGACAGCATTTTTCTCCCTATCCTCCTTCCTTTATTTCTTCCTTCCTCCTTCCCTTCCTCTTCTTCCTTCCTTCCTTCTTCCTTCCTCCTCCTCCTCCCTCCTTCTTTCTCCCTTCCTCCTCCCCCTTCCTTCCTTCCATATCCCCCCTCCCACTCCTCCTTTGCCTTGAAAGGCATTTTCCTTCCTTCCTTCCCTCCCTCCTTCCTTCCTTCCTCTTCCTCTCTCTCCTTTCCCAATTCTGGCTGCTGCAGCCGCACAAAGGGCTGCAGGCACCCTCCTCCTCCCCTTGCTTTGCAAAAAGGGGGGGGGGGTTGCAAAGGAAGAAGGACCCTCCCCCTTCTTCTGTGTGTGCCCCCCTCCCTTTCTATCCTCTTATTGGTTTAGAGCAGAGCCCGTCAGAGGCGGCAAGGGGCCCGGATTGGCAGAGGAGGAGGAGGGCCCGACTTGTGCTCTTTGGGAGCCGGGCTTTGTGTGTGAAGCAGGCAGCGGTGAAGAAAGGCAGCCTCTTCTTCCTCCTCCTCCTCCTCCTCTTCTTCCTCACCATGTGAAGAGGGCCCAGTCCCCGGCCTCGGGGGTCTCCTTCATCCTCCTTCCTCCTCCTCCTTTCTCTCCTGGGTGGTCCAAGATGCTGAGCCGGCTGATGAGTGGCAGCAGCAGGAGCCTGGAGCGCGACTACAGCTGCACCGTCCGCCTCCTGGATGACAGCGAGTACGCCTGCACCATCCAGGTAGGAAAGACAACCCACTCCTCTTTTTCCTTGCCTTTCCAAGGTCCTTTTTGCAGGGATGCCCGGCAGGAAGATGCTTCTCCCTGGGAACTGGTCCCAGCCTCGTGAAACCTGAGTTCAGTGGCTCAGGGCTGCAGCCACACTGCCCTATCAGCCCAGCATCTGGTCCTAGATTATTATCTACTTTGAACTGGATTATATAGCAATGTAGACCAGGTATGGGCCAATTTGGGCCCTCCAGGTGTTTTGGACTTCAACTCCCATCATTCCTAACAGCCTCAAGCCCCTTCCTTTTCCTCCTCAGCGGCTGAGCAGGAAAAGGAAGGGGCCTGAGGCTGTTAGGAATGATGGGAGTTGAAGTCCAAAACACCTGGAGGGCCCAAATTGGCCCATGCCAGATCTACACTCATAGGCTGTATCTATGCTAACATATCATTATCAAAGCAGATTGTAATGCATGTGGCTTGCATTGAACCAAATTATATGAGTCCACGCTGCCATCTAAGGCAGGCCCTGTCTACATTGCCATTTAAAATCCGGATTATAAACTGCATTATATGGCAGTGTATACTCGTGTCATCCGGTTCGAAGCAATCAATGTGGATCATGCTCTGCTTTCATCATCTGGACAATACGCCAGTGCAGAAGGGGGCCCAGTTCAAAACAGATTCTAATCTGGATTTTATTTGGCAGTGTAGAAAGGTACCACATTGCCAAATAAAAATCCAGATTAGAATCTGCTTTGAATTGGATCATATAGGCCCTTCCAAGCAGGTCCTATATCCCAGGATCTGATCCCAGGTTTTCTGTTTAGCCCAGATTGTCTGGCAGTGTGGACTCATATAATCCAGTTCAAAGCAGAAAACCTGGAATCATATCCTTGGATATATGGCCTGTCTGGAAGGGTCCCGTATCTAGTTCAGAACAGATTATAATCTGGATTTTATTTGGCAATGCAGAAAGGGACCACATACAACCCAATTCAAAGAGGATTATAATCTAGACTTTATTTGGCAATGTAGAAAGGGACCACATATAATCCAGTTCAGAGCAGATTATAATCTGAATTTTATTTGGCAATGTAGAATGGGACCACACATAATCCAGTTCAAAACAAATTATAATCTGGATTTTATTTGGCAGTGTAAAAAGGGACCACACATAATCCAGTTCAAAACAAATTATAATCTGGATTTTATTTGGCAGTGTAGAAAGGGACCACATATAATCCAGTTCAAAGATGATTATAATCTGGATTATCCAGCCTGGGCTATGTGGCCTGGGACCACACATAATCCAGTTCAAAACAAATTATAATCTGGATTTTATTTGGCAGTGTAGAAAGGGACCACACATAATCCAGTTCAAAACAAATTATAATCTGGATTTTATTTGGCAGTGTAGAAAGGGACCACATATAATCCAGTTCAAAGATGATTATAATCTGGATTATCCAGCCTCAGACTATGTGGCCTGGGCCAACGGAAGTAAGAAAGCAAATAGACACCTGGCTTTGTGGTAGATGCCATGCTGAGCCCAAGAAAGCCCAGCTAAGGGAGGCAAGGCCTGGATGGGAAGAGGCTTTGGTGATCCCCTTTCTGGTTTGGCACTTTGCTGTTCCTTGGGCAGCATCCCTCTTTCTATGTATGTACAGCTTCCATTCTGCATGGTTTTGGTCCCAGAAGGGCCTCTGCTGCCCTTTGCAAACACAGACAGGGCTGGCTGAGAATTGTTTTGTCCACTCCTTGCCTTTTGTTCCTCCCCTGCAAACCCAGTGTGGGCAAACAGGCCAGCCTGAGGTCTGCTCTTCTGCCTTGACTACGGGGCCAAAAGTTGGTCAGCAGGGCCTTGCTCCCTCTGCGAAGCCAGTTTTAATCGGGGTTGTCCATCCACACTGCCACACTGCAGGGAGAGGCGTCCCTGAGTTACAAACATACGATTTACAAACAAATCCAAGTTAAGAACAGGGCTGAGAACAGAAAATGGGAAGCATCTTTTCCTTGGAAGGAAGAGAAATCCACTCCTGGAAGAGTTATTATCATGGGGGAAAGGGGTCGCCACTGACACTTTACCCCCAATCCTTGTTTCCACAATTTTTGGGTTGCTGTGAGTGGCCATGTTCCAGAAGCATTCCCTCCTGGAGGTTGTGAGGTCAATTTTTGCAAATTATTATAGATTCCTTGAGGTACAATCTTCTGTGCAGCAACACAGACAGCAAAACAGACACAGCAATGATGTTGCCTTCCCTGTGCTATCCAAAGCTTTTATATATATCTATCCCCCGGTGGCGCAGTGGTTTAAAGCACTGAGCTGCTGAGCTTGTTGATCGAAAGGTCGCAGGTTCGATTCTGGGGAGCGGCATGAGCTTCCGCTGTCAGCCCTAGCTTCTGCCAACCTAGCAGTTCGAAAACATGCAAATGTGAGTAGATCAATAGGTACGCTCCGGTGGGAAGGTAACAGCACTCCATGTAGTCATGCCGGCCACATGACTTGGAGGTGTCTACAACGCCAGCTCTTCGGCTTAGAAATGGAGATGAGCACCACACCCCAGAGTCAGACATGACTGGACTTAATGTCAGGGGACTACCTTTACCTTTATATCTCTATCTATATATATGGAGTTACACTAAAGAAATGGACCTGTTCCCACTTACAAACAAATTCAACTTCTGAACAGTCCTACAGAGTCTCTCTTGTTCGTAACTTTAGGACTGCCTGTCACTCCTAATTTCTGGAAATCAGGTTCTGAGTGGATCCTTGCTTCTGCCATGGGAACTTTCCTCCACAGCCTTTGTTTCCTGACTCTCTCACAGCTCTGTTCTGATGAGAAGCTGACTCTTTCATGTTAATGCAGAAGCCTAGCTCTGCCTGCCTTCATCTGCCCCTTAGAGAACTATTACTTTCAAATCCCTGCCATACTCTCATTGATTGAAAGCAGACAAATATTGGTTGCTGTGGGTTTTCTGGGCCTCTGGAACATGGCCAGACAGCCCTGAAAACTCACAGCAACCCAGTGATTCTGGCCATGAAAGCTTTTGACAACACAGATAAATATTCTTTGACTCCCACTCCCAGCATTCCTCATCGTTGTCTAGAAGGGATGATGGGAGTTGGGCTCACATGGCTTATTGTGTGCCTTTGAGTAGTTTAGGGCAGGCCTTTTCCTTTGCAGGATTTGTTTGGAGGGAGTGTGCCTTTGAGGCTGAGAGAGAGTGGCTGCTCCAAGGTTATCCAAGGGGTTTCCAAGATCTGAGCAAAGCTTTGAACTCAGGTCTCCAGTGTCCAAGCCACTGTGTTTGTCACACAGCTAAGGACAATCGTTTCCCGATATGCTGGTGACCACTGATCAATTAAAGATGTGGTAATCATGTCTGGAATGGAGGAGTGGGGAAACGGGGCAATGCTTTTGCATCCGAGAGAGAGAGATTGTTGCCTGCAAAGAGAGTGCATCTGCAGGCCTGCAAACGGAGCGAGCAGTTGCTGAAGGTCATTTGATTAAAACATGCCAACACAATCTTCCTTCCCTTCGCTGGGTTCAGGGGTCTTGTTTTGTGCACCGTGTTCCTTTTTGGAGAGATAAAATACACACCAGCGCCTGCGTTTTTGTGGCATTTTGTTTTGTTGTTTTGCAAATGGAGACAGTAACTGACCCATGCAAGGCCAGGTTGGCGTTGAAAGTTAAGCTGAAATGAACGATGGCCTTAGAGTTGAGCCCACAGGAATAGCCAGGCCCCCTTCGTGTTTGCACACACCTTTTGTCTGCTTGTATAGATAGATGCCGATGGAAGAAGCAGCTTTGTGCGTCTGTGTTTGCTGGTCCTTGCATCGGAGAGCGATCGCCTTTGGGGAGAAAAGGACTGTTTTAGTCAGGAAAATAGGACATCCTTTCAAATCTGGGTGGACGTCAATCCATCAGCAACCTTTCCTCAGAACAAAATAGACCAGGAGGTTTGCCCTGATCTGAATCTCCTTTGTGAAGAGAAAAAGGGGGTAGTATAAATAATAACAATAATGATAATAATAACAACAACAGCAACAGATGCAGGAGTAAATGTGACTTGAACACATTGGCCATGTAGCCCAGAAACCACACAACACTCCAGTGATTCCAGCAATGAAAGCCTTCAAAAATAGAATAATAATACCAGAAGTTTCTTTAGCTGGGATAGAGGTCCATACATAGCTACGGGCACAGCTCCTGGCTCATAGGATGCACCCAAGAAGGGTCATCTAAACCAACCCAGTGCAGGGGATCTGTATTTAAATCCTCACTGACCATTGGTCACCTGCCCTCTGTTTTAAAAACCCTTCCATATTGTGAAGCCTATTTGAAATGACAAAACCCATCCCAAGTGCAGGAGAATTGAGGAAGGGAGGCACAAGTCGGATGCAGAGCCCGGCACTTGTGGCACTGCAGCAAACATGAGGCAAAGGGGTGGAATCCACCTCTGTACTCTGTGTGTGGCCCTGGACCACCTTGTCGTCCCTCTCCTTTGCTTTCCACATAAAAGACCCCACAACAGCAATGGGGAAAGGAGAGGGGAAAGCCCAGCTTCAGCTGCAGCATCCATTTTAGAGGCGGCAAAGGACTCCAGCCAAGTGGGAAGTGAGGGACTTTGTCCAAGGCTGCAAGCAAACAAGGTAAATCCATCTTGTGCCGTCAATCCACCATCAGTGTCCTTGCTCCCCTTGTTGCTAGAATGCTGCCAGTACCTTACAGTACCTTTACAGTCACGTCAACTCTTGCTTTAAGAAAGGAAAGCCAGATATTATTATGATTCTGATTATTATTATGTCCTGGAAAGTCATCCCTTCCATCCCCATACAGAACGAAGGCCTGGAATTCACTGAGACAACATGGGGTGCCTTTAGAAATGGCCTAACAAGGCTGTTTAGGGAAGAGAATGAGCTCTCCTTGCTCCGTGCCTTCCCTTCTTGCTTGCTTTCCAAGGAGGAACGGCCAGCTGGCCTCTGTGAGAGGGAATGGGAAGTGGGTCCCT